TAAGTGTGTCCATTGCTTAGGGGAGTCCCTTGTCTCTCAGAATTGCAACTTCTGCCTGTGCCTCAAATCCAGGGCAAGTCAAAACAGGGAGATTAAACTCTGCTAATGATTGAATGCTCCCTTTTGGAATGCTCTTAGGTCAGGACATATCCCTCCACCCAGTACATCTGTCTCCAGACAGATCCAGTGCCACTTCCACCTCAATGCAGGCTTCTCCTAAGAAAGGGAAAGCTTCTGAGGCTTCAGAAAAGGCTTCCAGAAAGACTAGTGTGGATTCTCACCTTAAGGAGCCAGCTCCAATAAAGTCCAAGTCCCCAGTGAGATCTACGGTCTCCAGAGCCTCAACCTCTCTTGACTCAGTCTGTTGAGTTTATGGCCTTGCCAGTGCCGGAGGAGGAGTCCTTCAAGTCCTGGTGTACGAAGGAGAGACACAGATCTGATGGGGTCTTTCTACCTTCTATCAGCAAGGAGGGTAAGCATAGACACTTGGAACTGGCACCGTCGAGTTCAGCCCAGCTGTTGGTACTCTCACATCCAGCACCAAGCAAGCAACTGCCCCAGACACCTTCAACGGTAGGCCCACCACTGTTGGTGGTGCCTTCAGTGACCATAGCCTCAGCTACCATGTCAGTAGTGATCCCCTATTCAGTATCCAGGAGTTGAGATGTACTAAGGGCCTCTTCATAACAGATGAAACAGAGTCCCAGCTCCTCTTGGTACTGAGACACCGGTCTGCAACTACCATCCTCTGGAACTGCAGGACTTTCCACTGTTTTCTGTGGGTGCTCCTCCTTTGGATGAGATGGAGGAGGATGAAGGAGACTTCCAGCCAATCTCCTTTATTTCTGTTCAGGGTTCTCCAACATATCCTTTCAGGATCCTGTTCTTTGAAAGTAATAGGGAAGATCAGGCTCATTATCAAGAGTGTATGCCAACCCTGCACGCCACCCCCACTTCTGTATGGGCCCCCCAGTGGCCATACTGGTACCTGTTGGCTGCCTATCGACAACATTTTGCCAGACCACCGGTACTGTCTCATAGGGAAGCCGGAGTTGTACAGCCCTCTCCTTCCCCACCAGCCCCCCCATTTCCCCCGCACAGGGGGAGGCTTTTGAGGAGCAGGAAGCTAGGCCAGATAAGGAGGCCATTCCTCAAACACCTATTTCATTGTCTATGGACAAGGCAGTTATGCCTCCGCCACCATCCATGGCTGGTGGTGGATGTGTAAATGAGTGGGATAGGCAACACTTCTCTAAGTCTACTCCATATGACAAGGACCAGAAAAGGCTAGATCTTACTGATCTATTTATCAGTAACCCTGTAATTCAGAATAGCAAATTATCAGGTGGTCATGGCAAAATGTAATTTTACAGATTATAAACAGGTTCACGGCTTTATATTAAACATCTACAACAAGAACACAGGGAGCAATTCCAGTCCATTATCTCAGAGGGCCAGTTGATGGCCAGAATTGCTCTTCAGGCATCTTTAGATGCTGTGGACACTGCTGCCAGGTTAATCTCCCTGGCAGTGGTTATGTGCAAGGCATCATGGTTCCATCTCTTGGGGTTCCGGAGAGAAGTATAGAACACTGTAAGACCATCAAAGGGGAGTCCTCTAAAGTGTTATTGGAAACCACAGATGAGTCCTGACACACTTTAAAGGATTCTAGGGCTATTTTATGATGCCTGAGCTTATGTACACCTACAAATAAGAAAAGGTTTAGTAGATCAGACTGCCCAGAGATCACATCCTGCTCAGTTTTCCAGGTTCCATTGAATCCCTAGAAAGACATAGATTCAAGAGAGTGCCCCTCAACTGCCCCCCATGACTACCCAGACATCTTCAAAGCAACAGTTTTCATGGGTTGGTTGAGGGTTCAAATCCTCCTGCAGTTCTGGATTTACAGCTGTGCCCATTAGCCCATGACAACCCCTGTACAGAAGATACAGTTTATAGAGGCATATTTTGACTCGTTGACAGCCAGATTCTATCTTCCCGTAAACAGATTTGTAACTTTGTGTGTCTAGTATGGGCAATTTAGGGGAGCCTTCAAACCACAATAAAGAACTGTCTTCTGCTCCTGGGACACATGTTAGCTTGCATCTTTGTGACCAATCATGCAAGACTATGTCTGCTGCTTCTAGAGTTGGCTCAGAATGACCTGTTCTCTAGTCACACACCTTGGACAGACAGGTGACAGTTCCTCTACAAGTGAGCAACTCCTTAGACTGCTGGAAGAATCAACTCAATGTCTGTGCAGGCATTCCCTTCTGTCACCCAGCCCCACCAGTGACTTTAACAACAGATGTATCACGGTTGGAATGGGAGTCCACCACTGCAGTAACCTCACGACTCAGGGCAGATCGACAACTCAAAAAGTCAGTCTCCACATCAGTCTGTTAGAGCTCAGGGCTGTCAGGAATGCTTGCCTTCATTTCCTACCCCTCAACAGGAGCAGATCAGTCAGGGTCATGACGGACAGTGTATCCTGCATGCTCTATATTAACACACAGAGAGGAATAAGATCTTCCTCCCTGTGCACTGAAGCCATGAAACTATGGAATTGGTGCATAGCTCATCAGATCCAAATTTCAGAAGTCTGCCTCCCAGGTATTCAGAACGCCAGCCTCACAGGACTATGAATGGGAGCTAGACATCGAAGTTCTCCACAGCATATTCCTAAAATGGGGACTGCCAGAGGTGGGATCTCTTCACCACCTCCAGGAACAGGAAGTGTCCTCTTTTCTGCTCAAGAGAGGGTCTGGGCCTTCACTCCTTGGGAGATGCCTGTGATGGTTCCCCCCGGGGTGCCACCTGGAACTGGGGTACCACTGAGCCCTCTGACCCACCAGCCTGGGCTCCCTCTCACACTGTGCTGTTGTGACAAATTGCAAAGCTCTCCAAGCTTTCACTGTCACCAGCATTCACACAGGTAGGGACACACCAGCTGCAGTCACATGCAGGCTCTCTAACCACCAGTCTCCCAGCCTAGGACCCCAGAGCAGTACCATCCTGCCAGGGTCAAATCTCGCCAATATATGGGTTTAACACCTGGCCCACCTCTCCCTCAATGTGAAGAGGACCATGCACACTTGTGGTACCCAAGCTGAGATTTTTCCACAGACGACATAGTCAAACACATGCTGGTTTGGATTAAAACATAAAATAAGTGTATTAACTACAAAATGATAGATTTTAAGTGATTATAAGTGATGGCAAATGGATCAAAGCAGATTACCTAGTAAATAAAACCACAAACTGAGCTTAACATACTAGATAGGTAGGATATGAATTAGCAAATTCTCACCCTGAGTGATAAACAGGCTGGCAGATTCTTAAGGCACAAGCTGTGTTGGCTTTGCAGCTTGGGTTTCCCAAGTTTTCATACACAGGCTAGAAATCCCTTTACTTTCCCCGGTTCAGTCTTTGTTCCTCAGGTGTCTCCAGGTGTTGTTGTAGGGAGAGTGAGGTACTATCATGATGTCATTTCACCTATTTAGCTCTATCTTTGAACAGTGGGGAGGAACACGTTAAACCAGACCGGGGAGCCTTAGGGAGAGTCCACACCTTGTGGTTGGGACACCTGTCCCCACCCCTCTTACTTTCACAGGGGTCTGGCATTCGAGCCCCTGACTTAACAAGGTCCTTTAAGCTGAGGGTGACCCCCTCATTTGGGACAGGTTAAGCACAGTTCTGCTCCCCTTTTTATTCATGCAATAAAGACAACAAAATTGATAACATTTCACTACCTTGCATTCAGTACTAAAGTGATTTGTAACCCAACATCAGCCAAAGTTGACCACTTTGAGCAACACAGCTCTGTTTGCTGGATATCTTGGCAGAGTAGATATTATATCTGTAAATACAGTTTGCTCCTGAAGTCTCTCCCCATCCCAGCTAGCTGTCAGAGGAAAGCTTATTCAGACCCTGCTTACACTGGTGTTACTGGTTTGACACTGTCCTCGGTTAGTAGTGATAGTGATTCCCATCTGATGGCTTTTTGATTGGCGATTTCTTAGTTGAAATACATTTTTTAGTTCCAGTCTCTAATGAAGGAACCACACATATACTTCTACCTCTCCAACTCCATCTGGTAATATTTGACATTGTTTGTTGACTGTGCAGACTGTTCTCAGAGGCCAAGGAGTGAATGAACAATCTTCTCACCTGTAGTGTAGCCCCTATAGTGTAGCATTGTTCAAATAACCAGAGCATTGTGAGAAAGTTTGTGCTGCTCCTACCCATGCCATACCTTGTCCTGTGGATATATAAAAGACCAGTCTCTCAACTAGCATTCTTCAAAAATACTAAGGATCAGATACTTCCCATCCTTACTTGACATGAAAGTCCCATTTGACTTCATGGTATGAAGTGTTCAGTATGAATAAGGGTATTACAATCTGTCTCTAAATAATGTATTTTTTTCTAGCTTACTAACTTTGTGTTCTTCAACTTATTACAAACAATGCATAGGGAATTGGGAAGGTTGCCTCACATTTGTGTAACAAATCATATCGCAAGGTCTTGCAATCCCAACTCCTATAACTTAGTGCCCCTGTGAACTTGCTCATGTGAGTAAGGGCTGCAGGATCAGGTCCATGAATAGCACCTAAAGTGATGTATATTTGTTATGCAAAAAAATACATATACTCAGCTTTGTGTAAATACGCTAGTTGCCTATAAAAATGCCTAGACTGACAATTATTCTGAGGGTTACAATGACACTTACATTAAGCCATTCTTGAATTTTAAACTAAAGGATTAGCAAAAAGTGCTTTGTGTTGCATGTTAAATAGTTCAGTGAAAGGGTTTTATATTTTGTTTTTTGTTAGATGCAGGAAACATCTTGGACTTTACCGGCAATGCCCAAAGAGTTGTCATGTTACATTTGCTCTAAAGGTTTTAAATACAAAATTATGAAGCATTCTTTAAATATGCACCTGTTAATTAACTTTTTTTTCTCTCTCTCTCTCTTGCTTCTCCTTATTATTTTTCAGCAAGTCACAGGCAGAAGTTTTGGTGACAAAGATTTTCGGTCTGGATTAGAAAATGGTATTCTGCTGTGTGAGTAAGTAATGCTTTTAGTTGGAACTTCACATGCAGTTTTGACTAAAGATGGAACCTATGGTTTTTACTTTAGCTGGTACAATGCAACGGTTTGTTTCCTTTTTTTTTGACTTTGGGTACACTACATATTTCATCACACTGTTGTTCCAGTGCCAATGGTTTTGTTATGGTGAGAATTGAAATGTGGTTTTAAAAAAACAAGTTTTACAAAGTGGTTTTTACCCCCCCCCCCATCCATGTAAAGTAAAAGTGAGGCTTTTTGGATTTGGATTTATTCTGTTTAAAGTGGATGACTGCAGTTTGGAAACAGTGTGCAACACCTGGCCTGCAGACATCTCTCTTGCAATGAAGGGTTTTGGATCCATTCCAGGTTGTACTGTTGGCAAGACTTGCCCATCTAGGTACAAGCTTATTTGTTCTTGCATCCTTTGAGGTCCAGGCTGTACTCTGAACCTTTTGTTCTCTGAACCATTTTATTTTTAAAGATAGGCTTGAAGAACATACTTCAGAATTCTTCATAATACAACCAGATCATAGATTTAAACAAAATACACCAAACTCAACACTCCCATGTTAATGTTCATTTATGGTGTGTGTGGGTGAGTGTGTGTGTGTGTGTGTGTGTGTGTGTGTGTGTTGATCTGAGCTTAGATTTCCAAATAAATCTAAAGGAGCTAAGTGCCCAGTTCACTATGTTTCAGTGTGATTTGGGTGCTTAACTCCCACAGGCTCCTTTGTGAGGAGTTTGAGAAAAGCTACTGTAGTTGTCCCACCTGTAGTGGCTAAATTCTGCCCCTACATATGTATAAGGCTGCTATTTAAAAACAGTGGGAACTGCAAGTCTGAATTTGGACTTTGACGCTTACAAATTAGATGTCTTGTAAACATTAAACTTGAGAAGTACATTTCTTGTATTTGTTACAATTTTTTAGTTTTGGAGACGAGAGGAATCTGACTTGGATTCTGCTTTTGATGCTCTATAGTTCAGTTAATACCATTTACTTAAGCAGTATGTGGCTTTGGAAAGCTGAACCTAATGTACAGAAATGTATATCTCACTGATGCAATTGAACATAAACTTTGAAAAGTTAGAGAGACTGCAGAACAGAGATGATCTTATTTACCCATCTTTCCCTCCCCCCAAGCCATATCTTGGCAAAAATGAATATAAATATTGCTGATCCAGGTGGTATTCAATATGCAGATAGCAGTCTGTAGTGGTTACATCACAGTGTGTGTAATGGTTGATCTTGGACAATCTCTTCCTCCTTAGTGCAAAATACTTCAGTTGGAAGTATTGTGTATTGACTCTCCTTAACGTGATTCTTGCTCGTCATGGTTGAATTGTGTTGGTAAAAGAAGATGTGTGTTTCAGGATTAGATCTTAATCTGATCTGCAAATAAACAGAGGTAGTCTGGTTTAAGTGGTGTAAATCTTTCAGATGCAAAGCTTAAGTAACAAATGTTATGTTTTAGCACTTCCATTGTAATACATGAGTATCTATCTCTTAGGAGGCTGTGGGGGCCAGTCATTATAATAGTGGATGAAGAGATCGGACTAGTTGATCCTTCTACCGACCTGCTGTATGATCTTGGCGAAAATCACTTTTCTTCTTTGTGTCTGTTTACCGGTCTGTACAAGGCATATAATACTTGCCACTTCATGGTGTGTTTTATAGGAAGACCAGGGTGCCCTGGGTCATAGTCAGAGAGTTTAAAGCCAGAAGGGACCGCCGTATTACCTAGTCTGACCTCCTGTATATCACAGGTCACCATACCACCCAGCACCCACACCCTAAACCTAACAACCAAAATTGGACCAAAGTATTATAACCCAGAGGAGACTAGGCTGTAACGTGCCATAGGGAGAGAATAGGAGGGGCTGAGGTATCTACACCCGAGGCCCTTGCAACCGCAGGGAAATGATTGTGAGGTGTACACCCAGATAATCCTGGCAATTGACTCGTGCCCACACACTGTAGATGAAGGCAAAAATTCCAAAGTATCTGCTAGTCTGATTTCACCAGGCCAGGTTAGTCTGGCATGACCTATATTTTGGTAAACCTGTGTTGCTTTACATCCCCTTTACTGTTTACATACATGAATTTAATTATTCTTTCCTTCAAAAATTTGTTCAAAAGCCTTGGATAACACTAATGTGTCCATAATTGCCTCGATCACTTTTTCCCCCTTTCTTAAAAATAGGTGTGACTTTAGCTGTTCTCCAGTCATATGGTACTACCCTCAGATAGATATTTTTATTACAAGTCCATGTTATCCTTACTGAAAACTGAAGCAAAGTAGTCATTTAGTTTTTTGGGCCAGCATTTGAGATTATCTTTAATCTTCTTCCCATCTGCACTGCATAGCGGCTCAATCTCATCCATCCTTATTCTCTTTTTATTTATATAACTAACAAATCTTTATTTTAATTTCCTCGACAAGAGCTAATTCAGCTTGACTTCTAGCCATTCTCACTTTATTTCTACATTTTCTAACCTCCATGGTGTAGCTGTCTTTGTCCAATCCCTGTAGGTTTTCTGCTTACTCCTAATAACCTTTTTTGAGATGGTTATTCATCCAACTGGGTCTAGAGCCTCTCTCTACAAGCTTCTTTCCCCCCTTGCTTGGGATGCAAACTTCAGATAGTCTTTTTGGTATAGTTAGATTTGAAGAAATTCCAAGCCTCCTCTACATTTTAAATCCAAGATGTTCAATCCAGTTGACCTCTAACTAATTCCCTTAATTTCCCAAAGTCTGTCCTTTTTAAAATAAAAAACCATATCGGATGACCTGGTTTTTATTATCCTTCCATTTAATTTAAACTGAATCAACTTGTGATCACTCAATTCAAGGTTATTTCCTACAAGCTCTTCTATGGCATCCTCACTACTTACAAAATCAAGTCTAAAATTGCATTACCTGTTATTGATTCAGTGAGAATTTGATTCAGAAACTGTCATCTGTCACAGTCAGGAATAACTGGGCCCTACCAGTATCAGTAGCATTTATTTTCCATTCTATATCTGGGAAGTTTTCTTCCTGTTACGACACAATTCCCCTTAGTATTTATTTTTCTAATAATAATAAAGAGCTCTCAGTCCATACGAGTCTGACCCAGCTGGTCTATAGCAGACGCTTATCACTGTCCTAACAGAACCTCTATTACAATCCTTTCCCAAAGTGATTTAGACCCCAAAAAATTCTGTTTTGTCCATACTATCACTTATTTCTTTACAATTTACTCCACCACATTTATCTTTGACTATCTCTCCTAACAGCATATACCCTTCAATACTTGTACTCCAGTCATGAATGCTATTCCATGTTTCTGTAATCCCTATAATATCCTGTTTGACCTCCTGTCGATAGTGCAAGTTCTTCCATTTTATTGCCCGGGCTCCTTAAATTAGTGTGCAAGTGTTTCAGTTGTTTCCCTTGTACCTCGCCCAGTTTTTTAGCTGGATTAGGTATAGTCTTTTCACTAACCGTAACACCTACCTGACTACAACTCCAATCAATATTTGGACTTTTTCTTTCTCCTTGTCCATAATCTTACCTTATAGTGTTCCTTTATCCTTTACTGTATCTTCATTTAGCTCGCTTTCTTCCTACTGTGTATGGAAGCAAGTCGTGGAGATTTCATGAATCTCTTCCAATCTTCTCCTCTCATCTCCCAGTGTATAGCCCTTCTTATCAATCATGCCAGCCTTCAAACCAGAAGATTAATATCCCACATACTCAAGAGGAGTCTATCAGTCAAGAAGTCTTCTTTCTGTAAATGCCTCCCAAGGTCAATCATCCCAAAACCTTCCTCATTGCATCAATCCTTGAGCCATCTGTTGATCTTCATTATCTTGTCACGCCTTTGCTCTCTTTTCTAGGGACTGGAAATATTCTGCTGAAAATCACCTAAACTTCCACTTCTTTAAGGGTCTTACTCAGCATAGTCATCCTTGATCCATTCCAATGAAATCTAGCTGTGTTGATGATTTCTCCCCGCTTCCATTAGGATCCTTTTCAGCCTCACATACACATCTCATATCCTTGTTACTGGCAGGCAGCATATTCTTCTGTTCTCTGGGTTTGGATCTGGTCTGGTGACAGGCATTGGACTTTGCATAGGTCTTCATGGCTGAGGATGTGAGGGAGATTGCCAAACCTGAGCCATTCTTTTTAGGTGACAAATCTGAGGAACTGTCCCAGATTGAGGTGTCATTAGAGGAGGTTTTGGAACAAATTGATAAACTAAAGGAGTAATAAGTCACCAGACCCAGATGGTATTCACCCAAGAGTTCTGAAGGAACTCAAATGTGAAATTGCAGAACTACTAACTGTAGTCTGTAACCTATCCTTTAAATCCGCTTCTGTACCAAATGACTGGATGATAGCTAATGTGATGCCAATTTTTTTAAAGGGCTCCAGAGGTGATCCTGGCTCTTAAGTAAACTAAGCAGTCATGGGATAAGAGGGAATGTCGTCTCATGGATCAGTAACTGGATAAAATATAGGAAACAAAGGGTAGGCATAAATGGTCAGTTTTCACAATGTAGAGGGGTAAATTGCAGGATCTGTACTGGGACCAGCACAGTTCAATACATTCATAAATGATTGGGAAAAAGGGGTAAACAGTGAGGAGGCAAAGTTTTCAGATGATAAAAAATTACTCAAGAGTAAGTCCAAAGCTGACTGCAAAGAGTTACAAAGGGATCTCACTGGGTGACTTGGCAATGAAGTGTAAGTAATGCACATTGGGAAAAATGATCCCAATTATACATACAAAATGATGGGTTCTAAGTTATCTGTTACCACTCAAGACAGAGATCTTGGAATCCTTGTGGATAGTTCTCTGAGAACATCTGCTCAATGTGCCGTGAAAGCGAACAGTGCTAGGAATCATTAGAAAAGGGATAGACAGAAAATATAATGCCACTATATAAAGTCATGGTACTCCGACACCTTGAATGCTGCATGCTGTTCTAGTTACCCATCTCAAAAAAT